TAAGTTTTCCATTGATGATGATAAAAAAATAGTGCACTGGTCTTTGATGTTGGGCTGTGGTACCAGGGTGAGTGACATGATCTTTAGCCTGGTTTGTTCCTTTTTGCAAACCACACACAGAATGATTAAAGTGGTAGGAACCCCCTCCCCATTGCTAGGACCACTCTGGCAGCCACTGATGATGATTAAATCCTCTGCAAGCTAGCAAAAATTTGATTCAACTTGCTAGGCACATTGGACACCTTACTACTCCCTATACCACCCCATGGCTGGAGTGCAATGTGTTCCAGCAAAAATAGTGCACATCTTTATTAAATTTGGTGCATCCTGCTAATTCGGTACATAGTCTGGCAGCCATTGATACTGATGATATATCCTGCTTGTTCGGTACACAGCCTTTGTAGATTCAATAATATTTTGAATTCAAATAATGTATGATTTCCTTACTTTCAAATCAAGGGGGTAATGTCAGCGTATATAAATTTTTGGGAGGGTAAAAGATAAAAAAGTTCCCTGACCCCTGGACTAGCTCTTTCCTCAAGATTCCCAGGCAAACAAGGAAATGGATCCTTAATTGCTTTCAAAGAAACCTGCAGAGCCACTGAGATTGTAGAGGTGTGTGTGTGAGAGAGTGAGAGAGACAAAGACAGTCATCTATATCTGGACTTCAATATCTGGCGGAATGCCTCCTCCCACCTAGATCTACCAAGATCACTCACTTTAGTCAGGTTGGGTGGCTGAGGGGCCTAACACTGAGGGAGGCCCAAAGAGAAAGAACAAGATAGTGGACCTTCTCAGCAGTGGCCCCTCGCCTCTGGAATAATCTCCCCCGAGAAGTTTGTCTGGCTCCCTTGCTGGGTTTTTTAAAGAGCCAACTCAAGACCTGGCTCTTTAGGCAGGCCTTCTCTCCTGTCAATACCTAATTTATTTCGCCATCTTCAATTGTATTAGTGTTGGTGTTTTGTTTTATTTTATTATTCTTAGAATGTTGTTAGCTGCCCAGAGTAGACTTCGGCCTAGATGGGCGAGGTATAAAAAAATAAAAAAATAAATCTACAGCACCTTGAGGAAGGAGGGAAGATTTCAACTCAGCTCTTCTTACTCAGAGAGGCCCCATCAAGATAAAAATTGCAGGTACTGCATCCAAAAGACTGTTAGCTATAATCCGTGGTTTTCACTAACCACAGCGATCCCCTCTGGATATAGGGGTCCTATTGTAATAATGTTTTTAGCTCTTATTATTGTTTTAATACTGTAAGCCACCCTGAATCCTCTTAAGGAAGGACACAAATATTTTAAATAAACAAAAAATATACCAATGCATCCTATACAGTACATTGGTCCTGCAACAATAGTACAGTGGTGCATCACTAGACTATGATAATCCGTTCCACTGAAATCATTGTTTAGCGAAATCATTGTCTAGCAAAAAAGCATTTCCTCATTGGAATGCCTTGAAACCTGTTTAATGCGTTCCAATGGGGAAGAATCGTCATTGTCTAGCGAAGATCAGCCATACGAAAGCCACTTTGCAAACCGCTCATCAGCTGTTTAAATAGCTGTCTTGCGAAACTTAGGTCCCAAAAACACCTGTTTTGCAAGCGTGGAGGGAGCTGTCAAAATCGTTGTTTAGCGAAAATCGGTTTGCGAAGCAGGGACCAAACATTGTCCAGCAAAATTCCCCCATGGGTATCACTGTTTTGCGAATCACTATAGCGATTGCAAAAAGTCAATGTCTAGCGAAAAAACTGTCATGTGGCATAACTGTCTAGCGAGGCGCCACTGTACTCACTTTGTTTCTGGGCTCCACCTAGAGGAAGATATCTGAATACCTCTTTCCATAGAAATCTGCCCATAGCTTCAAATCTTTACCAGCAGCTTGTTCTATTTCCCACCATTACAGAAGGTTAGGCAGGTAGTAACATAAGAATGAGTCACAGGTTGTACCCAAATATATCCATTCAACAGAGGAACAGACAACACTAGAGGAAGAGATTCTTTTTTCCCTTCAGGATCCCCCACCGAGGAGAGAAAACAAACTTCCATTACTTGAGGAAATGGTCACACAGCACAGAATATAGCCCCTTTTTGTCAGCAGCATTCAGCAGGTTTAGATATTTCCATTCCACTCATTTTTGGATGTGAATGCTGTTTATATTTGTTTTACTCAACCAGAAAAGTTATTGCTTAATCTTAACCTGCATTTTTTTTAAATTTAATTTCTGGTTCCTCTTTGTTTTGTACATCATAGTTATTTGGAACCGACCAATGATCATAATAGGTTTTTCAGGGTAAGTAAGATATTTAAGGAGTGATTTTACCAGTTCTATTCACGCCCTGGAGAGTTTTCATGGCAAAGTGAGGATTCAAACTCTTTATCTCAACAGTCCTTTGATTTTAACAGTTCTATTCACACCCTGGAGAGTTTTCATGGCAAAGTAAGGATTCAAACTCTTTATCTCAACAGTCCTAGTTTGTCACTCTGTCCACTACATCACACTGGATACCATACAGGAATGTATATCTGAAAGGTGGTCTATGCATACAGTAGGATCCCCATATCCACAGGACCAGTATCTGCTGATTCACTCATCCACGGTCTGAATTTTTTAAAAAAAAATCTCCCAATATATATATTTTTAACAATGATGTTACTAGAACTGGCCACTAGAGTAAGCCACAGACCATGCTATGTATCTGCTGTTAAAACAGTGTTTGGCTTTTTTCAGCATCCATCGGAAGGGCTTGGAAATGATTCCCCATAGATACAGGGGTACTACGATAATTTAATTAATAAATAGAAAATATGCTGATTTTAGATACAGCAATGGAATTCAAACGCAGAAGCAAACATTAAGAGAAAAGAGAAAGAAATAAGAAAGGTGTTTTATCATACAGAAACAGAACACACATGCTGACCCCTCTTTTAAGAAAAGGAGATCAGCAGTCAGCCAAAGGTAACAACAATCCAAAAGGTGGTATCAAATTTAGCATCAGGCTTCCTTACACATTAGGGCTTATTTTCAGGAGATGTTTTATTTTTTTCATGTACAATAATCTACATTTATTCAAATGCAGCCATATTCTAGTTGCTATACAATGATGGGCTTCACTTAACTGGGGCTTATTTTGGGGTTAGGGCTTATATTAAGAGCATCCTGAAAAATCATACTAGGGCTTATTTCCAGGTTAGGTCTTATTTTAAGGGAAGCAGGGTATATATATATATTTCCATATATATAAAAGTACACACAGAGAGAGCAATGAAGTTTATAAACCTGACCCATTTATCTTCACATCACAAAGAGCTATTATCAACATGCACACAGAACTCAAAGGAGCAAAGCACCTTTTTGAAAATACAAGATGAGGGGAAGGGAGACTTCATTGCAAAAGACATTATGTTTTATTCCCAGAATCATTAAACATGGAAAGATATAGTAAACAAAATAATTCCTGAAACTGGAATGAATACAAAAACATTTAGCACGTGTTTGATATGTTCTCTCTGAAAACTAATGTCATACATATAACTTATAACAGTATGATTATCACACTACACAAAATCAGAAAGAATAGCATTCTTTTATAGCACATTGTATTGTTATTCAATATTTAATATGTGCGCCATTTGTTATTACTTCTGAATTCCATTGTATTTAGACAGCTTTTCTTCAAATCTGTCGTGCTCGAGATGATACCCGGAAATACCAGAATAGAAAAACAGAGCAAATGAGATTCAGCACTTCTAGATTCCTCTCTCTTTAAAATAGAAACCCAAAGTGGTGAATGTTTCCTTCTATGTATCTCAAAAGAGTTCATGGTGCTTCATCTTTCAATAGAAGAAAAAGTTGACTCAAGAATATTCGTAAACTATAGGAGAAGCAAAGTACAGCCCAACTTTCTTACTCTTATTAAAGGGAGCTTTTGAACATCTCATCTACAATTTTCAATAAAACATGGATTTAACAGAAAAACAGGGAAGCAGAAACATATATATACAGTACACAACTCTGGCTTTAATTACTAGTAGTAGCATTCACAATCCTAACGTGAGTCCCCCTAAATGTTGCAGAAGTCTCTTCAGAGTTTCTGAATACCTTTGCAACAGACACTTTACAAAACAGCATACTACTAACAGCTTGTACTTTTAAAATAGCGAATGTTTGGGTGGTGCACATATGTGCTTGCTTCTACCTGTCTCTGCCATTACCCATCGTACTAAGTACAGTATGGAGAAGTCAGGGATAGCTGCTGGCACAATTCTGAGTCAGGAGAAAAGTAAAAATATGAACTTTCTTCAGTTCACCGATGTTACATTTTTCTATCATTTAAAACATTCAAACAAGACCACGTGTCTTCATAATTTCCCAGTAGACTCCTGAGTGACAACACTCAGTGGGGAAAAAAACAACAGCCAGATACTGTATGGCAACACGCAACGACAGCCCACGAACATGAAGTCGCCACTTAAACGAGAAAACGTCACCAACTTCTAGGACAACCAAAGCAAATCCGAGAGACCAATTCCATCAACCTCTGTGGCCAAAGAAACCACACGGGTGGGCGAGAAACTGCGGTTTGGGGAAGGAGGAGGGTCAGGCGCCAAACCAACTGGACTTCTGTCTGTCTGTGCAGGCGAACCAGGAGAGCGTTGGAAGAATGAGGGGAGAAGCAGCCCCTCCACAAAACTAACCCTGACCCGGGACGCGGGGGGGGGGGGGGGGAGAGACACACACACAGAGGGGGGGGGCAAGACACAGGAGGACCCTGCCTCCGACCAGCGGACCATTTCTCCTTCTGCAAGGACCCCATTTAACCAACCCTCAAGAGAGAGAGGAACTGACCACCAGCCCCGCGCCCGAGGAAGGAGGCCGCCTGCCTAACATGGAGGGGAGGGGGTTGGGGAGGGGAAGGATGGCAGAAGACCTGCTGGCCCTTTTCTTCCAGCGACTTTTGGAGAAGACGCGCGACTGGAGAGGGAAGTAGAGTCTCCTTACCTGATCTCCGACCCTTATGAGTGGCGTTCCTGGCTTAAATGGGGGAAGGGCGGCCTCGCATTCGGGGGAGGGGGGAGGAAGAGCAAACTCCCCCCCACTCTGAGTTGGCCAGAGGTATCACGGGCGCACCTGAGGGTCTTCTGCCCACAGAACTGACCGGAGGGGGGGAAGAGAGAGAAAGAAAATCCCTCTCAACCCTCTCTTCCCCCTTTCCTAAGTGCGCCGCCGGCCTTTTCTTGTTTCGCTGAACTAAACGACCCCCCGAACCGGCAGGCTACGGGAAACAAGGGGGCGAAACGGGAAAAGAGGGAAGACACCGCGGAAGGAGAAGTGGAGGAAGAGAAGAAGGGGGCTTAAAACTGCGCCTTTACCTTTAGTTCCGCACTGTCCGCCATCTTGAATCGTGGGGCGCAGGCGCAGTGAACCCCGCCGGGAAGCCGCCTCCCACCACCCCCGCCCCGCGCGCTGCGTTTGAATCCAGGGCGCGCGGCCGCCATTTTATTGGTCGCTCCTCAGAAAGTGTGTGGAAATAGCGCCCGGGTTTAGACGTGGGATACTGCCTCGCGCTGTTGTTATGGTTGTCGTTATCGAAGCAGAAGATCCCTCGTCAGAATTATTTATATTCTCCCTCATCGCAGGTGTCCTAGCGGGTACATTGCTAGCTGTTACGTCCGGTTGGGGGAAATCAGATGTTACGCGTCTGTACTACTTGCAGCAGATGGAGTGGCGGACTAGGACTCTTAGGGCCTGGGTTCAAATGCAGACTGAGCCGTGGAAACTCGCTGAAGGTGGCGATGGTCGCACCGCTCGTTAAGTATCTCACCTATTCTCAAAATCCTATTAGGGTCGATGACAGTCCGATGCGGTTTGAGGGCGCATGACAACAGCAGCAGCGTTGCCTTCGGGGCCACCAACACGATGCTTTGTTCAAACGTTTGCCTCTAGAAAGGCCGGCTTGGGCTGAGCTCTCAGAGGGGTTTGGCGACAAACCAGACAAACCGACCCCGTTCCCGTCCACAGGGGACTGGCGAGGAGCTTCGAGTTTAACCCCGGCAGGCTTAGAGGAACGTCCTTGTGACTTCACAGCAGCACCGACAATGGGGACCGAGTGACGGGTCAATTGGAGAGATGATGCTGGCCGATGATGCTTCCCTGGAGAAGATGCTTCCCTGGAGCTAGGCTGGTAGGATAAGGAAGGCTTTGGGGTCACTAAACTTATGTTTTATTCTTACATTGTCCAATAACATTCTTTCACTCGCAAGTATTCAAATCATGCTAAATTCTTAGCACTTTCTGAGCTCAGTCCAGTTTTTTTTTGGGTGGGGGAGTTATGCTATGTTTGCGGGTTTTATTCATTTCGTTAAAGGTGACATACAAAGCCTTGAACAGTTTGGGACCTTTCTACCTGTCGGAGTGCATCATCTTCAGATCTACCACCCATCCAGCCCACACCTCCCAAACTTTAATGTTACAGACGGCCACGACGAGGGACGTGTCTCAAAGTCTGCAATCAAGAACCAGGCTTTCTCGGTGGAATACATTACTGGTGGAAGTGCATTAGACACCCCACCCTTGCTCTTCTAATGTTTAAAAGACAAATAAAAACATTGCTCTTCAGCCAGGGTTTGAGAATCTTTTCCCTACTTAATTATTTGATTGTTTATTCTTTAATTGTTTGAGTTATGTTACTGTTGTCATCTTGGGGTTTGCTTATGTTGGTTTGTGTGAGTGGTATTAAGGGGGGTTGTTTATGTGTATATTATGTTGTAAACCACCCAGAGTAGTGGTTTGCCACTAAATAGGTGGGTAGAAATGTAACAAATATATAAAGCCATTGAGGAAAGTCATCCAGAGATTTGGAGTTCATTAGTATGCTGATGACTGAAAGCTCTGTGTCTCCTTATCATCATCTGCAGTGGATGCTGTCTGTATGCTGGAACATAGTCTGGCCTTAGTAATGGATTGGGCTCGGGCTAATAGGTTGAAATTGAATCCTGACCAGATGGAGGTTTTGTTGTTAGGAGGCTCACCTGATAAGTTCTGTGGCAATTTGTCTGGTCTGGATGGGGTTACCCTCCCCCTGAAAGACCAGGTTTGCTGGTATGGTTTTTTTAAATTATCCAATCTCTGCATCACTTCAATTCTTATAGTTTCAGTGCATGTGAACATTGCTGTCAGTTTATTTACTTTGTGAATGAGTCAGGTTTCAGGGCACCATAGCCACTGCGCTTGTACCCTTAAATTTTTTTTAATGCTTACAATAAATCACATACTTTTTAATATATTTTTCCTCCACAACCGTTTACTAATGTATCACTTAGCTGATATCTCCCCTATCATAACTGTTATCCATGCTTTTATGTGGCTTACAGTATATGCCATGTTAGCAATATATCATTTTAAAAAAAATAATAAAATAGGGTAGTGGGGACCCAGAAACAATATGGAAAATTAATCAATTTATATGACATGGCACATGTAGCCTACAGAACCAGTACAAATAGCAAGGAATGTACTGATTGAACTGACAGCCATGGGAATGGGCCCAGCGCTACATGTACTGCATGACTATACATTCAAATATATTTATATTTCTTAAAAAAGAGGAAAAAGAAACAATTCAAATAGTCCATGTGATTAAACACTTCTTTAAGAGAAAAAGACTGCAAATACCCAGTAGTTGAGGGAGGCCCTATTAAGGTCAATTGGAGTTACTTTCAAATAAAAATAATGAATCTAGTCTGGAGGTGTGACTGAGAGGCCTAATGCCGAGAGAGGCCCAGAAGGAAAAAACAAGAAACTGGGCCTTCTCGACGGTGGTTCCTTGGTTGTGGAACAACTTACCTTCAGAGATCCGTATGGCCCCTTCACTGGGTGTCTTTAAAAGCCAATTAAAAACATGGCTGTTTAGGCAGGCCTTCCCACCGGCTATTATTTGATTTACTTTTTGTTTTCCATCTTGAACGATTATCTTATTTTATCTTTGGATGTTGATATTATTTTAATTGTCTTTGTTGTGTTTGATGTATGCCGCCCAGAGTAGTCGAAATGACTAGATGGGCGGGATGGAAATGTAATAAATAAATAAATGATTCTCTGTTCAAAGGAGTCTCCTTGAATGGTCCTGCTCTTGTAGATGTACTTTTACTCTTAATTAATTTAGTTGCATTGTAGCCACTTAGACTTTGGAGGAATAATTATAATAAGTAAATATCTATTTATATTTACCCCTGTTAATTAAAGATTGGAATATGAAAGACATTTCTGCAGTAAACATTAATTATGATGATACATTTAATTGTCACAGACACTGGATGAGTAAAAAAAAATTTTTGTAAGGCCTTTCATCTTGACAGTTGAAACTAGTAGATGGCATCAAAAGAAATCTAGCTAACATATGAACAACATGCCTGACACACCTCCAAAAAGTTTTAAAAAGTTAGTGGTACAGTGGGCTCAAATAGTGGGTCTAATCCAACAACAGTGTTTGCAAAAAGTATGAATCAGTTGTTTGCATCCCTGTAGCAAAAGGAAAGAACATCTTGCAGAAGAATGTTTAAAAGATTGCAACTCCCATAAATGGTGGTGGATACTTTGAGTACACCTATCAGCCTCCTGTCCCAACATGGTTTTCAAAATAAACCCTGAAGCTTTTATCAATATCTTTGAGTGAGTGGCAAGAGTGCTGAGTGACCAGAGGCCCACTGATTTTTGTGATGTTATATTTGACTGGTGCTGCTATAGCTGCCATAGATATGCCTACTGGAATAAGAAGGTGTACAGTAAACAACTATTCTATGCATTTTGAATGTCTCTGAAAAAAATATACTGAAAGCAACTGTGAACAGAGATACAGTATATGAAAATGTGGCACATTTTCATATACTGTACCAGCAATGGCCCAACAACAGATTTGGGCAAGTTTTGTGCAGTGTCTTCTAAAGGCAATGTAATATTCCTCCAAGGACATTGTAAAATTGATAGTAACAGAATAATAGGTCAACCTGCTTGCACCAGTGGCACACATCTGGATCCACTGCAACAACTAGAATCCCCAAAATTTCCCATCCACTTAACTGAGATATTTGTGTTGCCCAAAGAATTCTGTGTAGCCCCAAGCAGAACAGTGGTATCTGCTTAGCAAAGCCAGTGTGCTTCAAATGGGAGTAAAAGGAACAGATTAGGTAAATGCATCAGGAATACATGTTGGGATAGGATTCAGGCCACTCTATACTACCAGGGAAAGGAGGCCAAAAACCTTGGACCCAGAAACAGCAAAATTTCTCTTTACTTGGACCCATGGTGTGACAAGGATTAAGCTGCCCTCTTCTCCTTGTTTTATTGACAGGGCAAGCAAAGGTCCATATAAAATAAATGCCTTCTACAGAAACATGACAGGCCATTAAAGTGAGCAATACCGTCAAGAATGACAGGGTGGTGGAGGCACAGGGAAATAGAAGGGTGTTTCATAGTCTGGCAGACTTTTGTAAACCAACTCCAAGGATCCTCACTAAAGAAGTTTTTATAGGTCCATTTAATCTATAGTGATGTGAAGCCCTGTTACACCTACAAGCCAAGGCAGGGATTAGGATGGGCACATTTCATTAAAGTCAGTGCAGTATCACAGCTGGCCAATCCATAAACTATGAATAGCCCTATTTACTAGAACTGCTGGATCAAGTAGGAACAACAGCCAACATCTAGTGAGAGGATGGAACAAACTTGAGATATGGTCACTTTCCAGCACAAAAATAATACTTCAGCACTAAGTCTGAGCAGAATCTAAGTCAATACAGAAATAATGAAGGCAAAGGACTCTGACATCTCTATATCCAATTAGATTTTCTTTTTTACTAGATGAGCATGAACCCTGAAAAATGAATCAAATCAGTTCATGCGGGGAAAGTTCATGAGTAGCCATAAACCATCATGAACCACTAGTTTTCCAGTTCATGCCCTTCTGTAGTTGTTGAATGAGTTACAGAGCAAAGATACAGTGTTTGGATGAGTAGTGCAAACTGATAATTACACATTTCTCAGCAATTGTGACATGGCACATTGTCCAGTGACAAATATGAATTAAGAGAGTGAGTATGACTGTTCTAACTTGGCATAACAATGAAAAGTTTTAAAAACAGCACTGTCTACTATTGCACAAACAACATACATATAATTATTCTGGTAATTCCGGCAACATAATTAGCAGTGCTGACTTCATATGCCCTGCCTTCAGATCATTCAGTAATGTTTCTTATTCTAAGATGGCTTCATAAGCATAAAGCACAGAATGTGGGTGGGGGGGGGAGAAGAATGAATGCATTTGAAAATCGCTATAAGGAGATACTGTAAGTCTT